AGCTAAGGTTGAGATTTCATAATTAATAGTAAGTCTCCATGTATTATTTGGTGCTGGCAATGGAAAGAAAATCCATCTACAGAGAGCAGGGACCTGATCATGTAGAAGCCATGTGCCTATGTGATGCTGACAAACATCCCATGATCAAGGTGCATGAATGACATGGTGCTGTCCTCCTCAGCCCCTGGCATCCATATACCCAAAGAGTCTGGAATATTCTGGTGAAGTCCTACCTCAATACCCCTCCACCATCTCTCTCTCTTTCTCTCTCTCCAAACCCTGTCCCATCCAGAAAGCCCACCAAACAGGGCTCCTCCCCTAGAGGTGCTCAAGACTGCTCCCACAGGGTATTTTAATTGCCCCCCCAGAAAACAGGCACATGGTTCATCAGCGTCGCTTGTTCCTCCATTCTGAGGGTGGGGGGCTGGAAAATCATCTGAAAGTGTTTTATGCATTACACCTGGGCTCTTCCTAACTTGGTTTGATTTGGTCTGATTTGGATTGAAGCGCTGGTAGAGAGGCTTATGGAGGTGCAGAAACTTTTCAGGTGTGTCCACCACCAGAGAAAGCCAATACAGCACCCTGTTTGTATAGTGGTGGGGCTGGGGGGAAACAGTGTCCTAACATCCCTTTTATTAAGAAAAGCACATTGAGAGATTGGTCTACACAAGTCAACAAAGTGAATAGATTAAACCGATTTATGAGCATTTATTTATACTCAAGGCATTCTTGGTTTCAAACTTTTGCTCTTTTTGATGTAAGGGAAAGACAGCCAGCAACTGAATTACAATTTCCAGTCTACCAGGAGAAGAGCTGTTTAATGCTGTAGGTCAAGTTATGCCAGCATGAGGATAAAAACCTCACTGTTTTGTCCAAGCCAAGTCTACCCAAATGTTTAATTTCATACACAGCACCCACCTTTGATATCTTATAACCAACTACATATAATAAATAATCTTTTCTTATAAAACTATCGTTATTTATTTGTGAGAAGCTGGTCTGGGCTACTGTAAATTGTCCATTAACTTCAATTAGTTATCACAGAGCATCCATATCTGACAGACACAGATTTCCTTTTCAAGTAAGCATTTTTCAGTCAGATTTGATACCCTGTCAAGGTCAGAATGTCTTAAAAAACAGAGACCTCAAAGCTAAGAACTGTAGTGATATTTTGTTTGTGTTTTAATAAAGTTTGCCTGAAGATCAGAGTGTAAAGCTAACCACACTAGTTAGCCAGAGGGGCCAGGCAGTGGTGGTATACAACACTTTTAATCCCAGCACTCAGGAGACAAAGACAGATCTCAGTTCAAGGCCACCTTGAGCTACATGGAATTGATACAGTTTAAAAGAGAAACAGAACTCACACATAAGTGGTCTCAGTACTTGGGGTCCCATGCCTTTAATCCCAGCACTGGAATATAAGGCAGGAGGAGACAGGAGCTCAGTGCAGTCTGAGGTTTGGTGGAGACAGCTGCAGTCTGGAGCTGTAATCAGAGGATAGGACTGCCCTTTCAGTCTGAGCATTGGTAGAGGTGAGAACTCTCTAGTGGCTGACAGCTTTGCTTCTCTGACCTTCAGCTATAACCCCAATATCTGTCTCTGGATTTTATTGCTAATATCAATCAGCATTCATGATATAAAGAACTCTCTGGTAAATGAGGCAAAAATCTCATCATAGGTATACAGTTAGACATATTTCAATTTATTTATAGTTGTAGTCCTTAAAATAAGAAGTTACAGCTTTTTGGTTTAATTTGCTCAACTCTCTTAATGTGAAACTTTCCACAAATAAATCTAGTTTATAAAAATATCATCATACTTGTAGAGGGTTTTAATAGGCCAAAAACCATGTCTTGGCTTAATCTCTATTGCCCCTAAAAGCAAACAGGTAAACAATATAATTATTATATTTTAATTTAAAATGTAAAGCAAAACAATTAAAAGGAGTTTGATAACACTGAAACAGTGGGTGGGAACTGAAATAACTTGTTTTACTAATGTAACTGAATAATAAGAGAAGAAGGAAAAAAGAAGCAAAGTATAAGGCGAGCAGAGTGTTCTTGGAGATGGCTTAGAAATTTACTATCAGGGCAGCCACAAAGTAGACACTTCCCAAGCCTTTACTTCAATAGTAAAACACGACAAATCTCTGATTTTGCTTTATTTAATAGGTCTTATTTTTAAAACACATGTTGTTCATTCAAACAAATTAAATCTAAAGTGATAAAAATTGAATGCAAACAAAGATTAAATTGCACTAAATATTTGTGAATTTTAAGTTTTACTTTCATTTTTGTGTACTTGAGTGCAGGTCAAAAGTCAGTGATATTGGGTTCCCTCAGAGCTGGATTTCAGGCAGCCACCTAAAGTGTTCCTGGGGATCAAACTGGGGTCTAACTTTGGAGAAATAGCACATGTTCTTAACTGTTGAGCCATATCTCAAGCCTGAATATCTGCAAATTTTAGCATACCAACACATGGCAAGTACTTCATTCAAGTATCTTTTAAAGGTCTTTGGATGACTCTGCCATAACTGGGATAAATCCTATGAACAAAACAAGGCATACAGGAATCTGTCTCTGTTCAGAAAGTTTCCTATTGGTGGTGGAAGGAAGGGAAGCTACTCTTGTGCAAAGGACCACAGTACCAATGCTACTGGGCCACGCATTTGCATAACTGTATTGTTGGGGGTGTGGTGTGGGCAAGATACAGAATGAAACTCATGAGCCACACAAAGCAGAATATCACCAGCAGGCAAATGCAGAGAGAGTAGAGAAATGCTCACTGGACAGGTAACTAACAAGAGAAACACTGAGTATCTCAGATACTTTGTTTACCAAGTATCACAGGTGACAGTGTTTAAGCCACCCACTGACTATCACTTGGCTGGAGAAGAGCCATAATTTAGCCTGTCTCCTATCAGGGAGCTGAAGCCATGCCAGCCTTGGCCATCTCCTCAGCATCTGAAGTACTGGCTACAGCCTTGCCCTTGCTAGTGTAGCACCACACACCATCTCCAAGAACACTCTGCTCCCCTTATACCTTGCTTCTTTTTTCCTTCAGTCTCATTCTCTTATTATTCAGTTACGTTAGTAAAACAAGTTATTTCAGTTCCCACACACTGCTTCAGTGTTATCAAACTCCTGTTAATTGTCTTGTTTTATATTTTAAATTAAAATATAATAATTATATCCCTTCCCACATTGTTTCTTCCCTCCTGTCTGTCCACTCCTCATCCTTTCGACTCATCCTATGTTCCCCCCATGCTCAAATTGATAGCCTCTTTTTCTTTGGTTATTACTATTGCATACATACATACATATACATAACATGTATGATGCCCATATATGTGTGTATATGGACCAATATCTATATTTTTATCTACATCTATCCCACCAAGTCCATTGTTGTTCTTTGTGCTTCCAAGGTTTCGGGTCAGACTGCTTTGTGTTGAATAGTCATGGGGCTTATCTCTTGGAGATGCTACCTCTTCTTCCCCTAGAAGTCATTAGTTTCCTGTAGTTCTGCTTTACGCTCTTTCTTAAAAGAACACACTTGAAGGGCTCTAGAAATGGTTCATGGGTTAAGAACACTGACTGATCTTCCAGAGTAGCTGGGTTCAATTCCCAGCAACCACATGGTAGCTCATTTCCATCCGTGACTTCAGTTCCAGGGGACCTGACAACTTTTTCTGGCCTCTGATGGCACCAGACATGCAAGTGGTGCACAAAAATTTGTAAATGAAGGCATAATTCACATACAAAAACAAAATCAAAACTTACTCTTGAATTCCAAATGTTTCTCCAGTCTCATGAAATGGAATCATGCCCCATGATCTCTTCATGAGTGCACCACCAGCCCCTTCCTTGAACGTTGTCCATTTGCCATCCTCCACAGTTCATCATTTCTAACACATTGACCTATCCCCTTCAAGGCTACCCATCTTCACCAGAAACTTCCTTTCCTCTTGTACTCATACATTTCAAGAGTTTCACAATGTATTGTAGAGAAAATTAGGTATGTGCATATACCTGGTCAAAGTTGAGAGTCCCAAAACTCAAAATTGGAAAACAACCAATACGCTAAAGAATCACAAATGCAGATCTCACTCTCTGCTTACAAAGCCTTTATTTTAGAGCTGTCAAGCTTTGGTTCAGAAGCACACATGGTTACAGACATCACAAATTAACCATGAAATATTCACAAGTGTGCCCCTAGATGTGTATGATAAAACATAAGTCAACATAATCCAGAAAGCCTGATCTCTCCCATCAAGAGGAGTACTGACACACAGAACCACTGGTCAGATCTCATATCCCTGTTTTCTTCAAAGCTGCCTTCTATGTCTTCAACCATCACCTAGCTGAGTTGCAATCCCCTGGCCCATTCTGTTGAGAATGCATCTTCACCAAATACCCTACTGTCGAGTCACACCAATATAGCCCTAATAGCTTCAGGTACAAGTGTAATGTTTCTTATTATGTTAGGTAAACACTCTTCCTTGACAAAGACCTCCAGTTATTTCTTTCCACAAAGTGGGTCTGGCTTTTGGTGTATCAAGGATGCTCCCTGGGGAAAAAAGGGGGGCCTCTCTTCCTGTCTAATTTGCTTTTGAAAAATATTCAATGTTTCTACTTTAATTCACTTAGTAATGAAAAGTAAATGAGACCAACAAGCATGTTTGATTTGTCATGGAAACAGAAACAGCTTTGCAAAAACAAACAAAATTAAATTAAAATAAATGATTCTCCTCTATGGTGAAATTGAAATTTTCCCCACCAAACTTCCTAACATCTATGAAACACAATTCAGACACCAGTGAGACAGAATGCCTTTTTACACAGCAAGCCTCATCTGTACCTACTCCTGACCTACAGATAGTCTATGTGGCAGGGCAGGGCCATGTCTACAGAAACCATACAAGCCTACATAGTTCACTGGTATAAGCAGAGAATGGCTAGGGATGCAGGTCATACTGCCCCAATGGGTGTTCCACCTACCGTTTTTGCAGATGGGGCAGCACTGGTCGGGTTCGTACACGGGGTCCACACATTCCGTCTGGGGACAGGCCGACACTGTGCATAGGACTTCACCATTGGCTTCACAGCGACACCGCTCACACGGAGACACCTGAGACACAAGCCCATGATCAGGATCACACCTCCCTCAGTCCTTACCCTAAAAAGTCATATCTTTATTTTTAGGTATGAAGATACCCAGATGTTTTAGGAATGGCATTTTCCAGTTCTTGGGCCCACTATATTTTCAGATGTGGACACAAGCTCCTGGTGTTGCCTAAGGAGTAAATACAGATATTCACTGGGGCAACTCAGCCTCTCACCTCCAGCCAAAGCAGCTCTCCCTGAAGGGACATCTTTAAAAACATCCCTTGAAGGAATATTTCTGTTGCTTCCAAAATCAAATTACTACTGATTTCTTGCTCAACAAATCCTTACTGTTCCATAGCTCTGTCAACTCTGCACTTAATCTAGCATGGATTGTTCCCAATATTTCTCAGAACAGGGGGCAGGGAGGAAGGAAAGCACTCACATGGTCCTCTGAGGTCAGGAGCACTTTGCCAGGAACTATATGACCTTGATGTCCCAGAGGTCTTATAGTCACATTAAGTGCCCTCCTGAAATGGTTGGCTCTGTCTACTGGAAAGGAACCTGAGACTTGGAGGCATTAGGCAACTGGCCTTTACTGGGTATCCTAAGGGATCAAGCTGAGATGCCACAGAGGGCTCTTGACTATAGGTCCATGCTAGCTCCTCCTCTCCGACTCCTCACAGGACCATTCCTTCATGTCATCAGTGGTAACATGTTCTCCTAGGAACCAAGGCTTTGAGAGGTATCAGGGTCTCTCTGTCTGTCTTTTTCTCTCTGTCTTTGTGACCCCTGCCTCCTCCCCGTGTGTGTGTGTGTGTGTGTGTGTGTGTGTCTGTCTGTCTGTCTGTCTCTGTCTATCTGTCCTTCTCTGTCTTTTTGTGTATATACATATTTCATAATAGCCCAGAATTAAATATTGGTCTAGTTTGCAAGTTAAAACCAAGTTTACAACAATATAAAAGCACAGTTTTAAAAAGTATTTTTGGCACAATATGGTGTGGGGGGATTTTGTAATGTGAGTTCATTGTTGTTTTCCTTAGTTTTTCCTGGTTAGAGCACTGCATCTCTGTCTCAAGAGCAGATATAGACACCAAGCAACATGAGGAAAATATTCTGAGTTTTTAAAACAAAGAACTTAATTTGCAAGAGAAGCAGTCAAGTACATGTCAGATCCCTTTAGCTGGAAGGACTTCTGGCAGAAGCCAAGAAGCGCAGATGGTGTGGCTTAGAGATGCAGAGCCATGATGCCCCAAGGGAGCAGAGTCCTACCCAGCTTAGGGCAGTAGAGCTAGCAATGGACAGGAAGGTCACATATCTGCATATGTCCTTAGGAAGCTGCTTTAGGAAAAAAGGGTGTTGCTCAACATGGGATGGATTTAAAGGAGACAAAATGGGCCCTATATCAATTCCCTAGGCAAAACATGAACTTGAAAATCAGACTGCATCAGTATGTAGGCAGGTGGCCTTTAGTGAGTCCATCCTTCCTCATGAGGCCTCGACCTGGTCTAGAAATGAAGTTCCTTATCTCCAGGCCAAGCTAAAACCTCCCCATGGGAGGGCTTCACTGGTAGACATACATGATGGTTTGCTATGCTTTATCCAAAATTTGATTGTGGGTTTTACTGTCACTAAATTTTAAGAAGTTTGATGCAGCTATATAGGGATTTGTTCACTTCTCAAACAGAATTAATACACCATCAGGGTTACCATGAGTGATGGGAGATGTCATTCTGTATCTGTTTCTCATACTGGTTAATAAATAAAGCACTGTTGGCCAATAGGAAAGTAGATAGGAGGGACTAGGAAGAAAGAGGAAAGAGGAAGGAGGAGCCAAGATGGAGAGTCTGGAGAAAGCAGTATGCCGGCCAGCTCCCAGTAAGAGAAATACATAGATCAGCAGAAATGGGTTAATACTTAAGACAGAGCTAGCTGATAAGAAACAAGTACCTGGCCAATAGCATTGTATCAAATACAGAGTCTCTGTGCTTTATTTGGGGCTGGCGCCGTGGCGGGACAAGAACGGGTGGTGGGCAGAAAAACCCTATTCCTTACACATGAGTGTCCCTCTCCAGACTCTCAGTTCTACCACCCATATCTCCTATCATCAGCTCCCACACTGGGGCTGCCTTCACTCCAATCCCAGGCTCACTCCACCCCGGCTCCTACAAAGAAAGGACGGTGAGAGGAAGTGTCAAGTTTCTGCTGGTTCCCTGAGGTGCCCTATGCTCTGTGGTACCACCTGGGAAAGAGTTCTTCAGCAGCTCACAGGCCCCTAGTTACTAAGATATCAGTCTTTCCTGTGTATTAATGAGGCCCAGGACCCAGCCTCACTTCATAAATGCCTGTACAGTGCTCACATTCCTAGCTTATGCAGGACAATACAGTCTGATACTTCCTCCGGAATCATACACCTTCCTGACCGCGCAGGTTCTATACTCCTCTGGGACCACTTGTCAGGCTCTTTGGCTACTCCTTGTGCTGATTCCTTGTCATCCATTAAGCTACAGCCAGTTAACCAGGCATGCCTAGGAATAATGCTTCCTCCTGACTGTGAAGTTCAGTGATGCTTATCATCCAAGTATTTTGGCTTTCACTTTTCTCCTGTTCACTTGTACAGATCTGTGTCCCTTTCAAATGTCACACTGAATCTATTTCTGCTGACTATAGACCCAGATGAGATGTGTCCATCAAAACATGGATAGAGCTGGGGTCTTTCCTCCAGTAAGCCACCTCTCAACTCTGTCCCTTGGCCTGTTATATGGTTCTGACAGCATATGAAATGTTGCTGAGTTTAAAAATAAAACAATACAAAGGATATACAAAATAAAACAAACAAACAAAACAAGAATAGCATTCATGGAACCTCAGGAGCCGAGCAAGGAAGTTGTAACAGGCTCAACTTCAGCATTAGCACATTCAAAGTATGATCCTGTGAGGCTGATGGGACATCAAAGGGATTCAGGCTGTATCTTCTTGCACCTCTGGCTTTGACTTGGACTGGCCATCTACCTTTGTAAAACTGACTCTGTTAAGCAGCCCCAGGACAGCAATATACCAGAAGTGATCCTAAAGTGTATCAATAACAATAGTAAGGCTCTGCTCAGCTGGGAATGAGGATGAAAACATTCTCTGTTCATGCCATGATTCCAGCTACAATTCAGAAATGTGAACTTCTTCTGCCACCTTTTGGGAGAGTGAGGATAAGATGGTGTTTGTGGTGGTGGTGGTGAGATGTGTGTGTGTGTGTGTGTGTGTGTGTGTGTGTGTGTTGATGAATAAGTAGAGTAGCTGGACCTGCCCCCTGCTGAAAGAGCTCTAATTTCACACTGCTGGTCTTTGTCCCTTGCCCACATGGCTTTTGTAGTTACTCTGCTTGCAAGCAGCAGCTCATTAGAGGAAATCTAAGACATAAACCCAAAGCAGAAATTTTCAGTCAAACAATTCTGATTACAGCATGGACAACAAAGTATAAATAAATACAGTAATTAGATGGTGATAAAAGTAGATCACTTATAACTGGGGGCTTCCTCACAGGACTTAGTAGATATATGTGTGCCTCTGTCACATGTACAGCAGCAGCAGCAATCTATGCAGTAAGTACTGAGGATGTATCTTTTGATCCAGTAAAAGTGGATGTGCTGGTTTAAAAACAAATGGCCCCCAAAGGGAGTGGCACTACTAGGAGGCGTGGCCTTGTTGGAGTGGGTGTGGTCTTGTTAGAGGAAATATGTCACTATGAGGGGTGGACTTTGAGGTCTTTTTCTGCTCAAGCTTCACTCATGGTGATACTGAGACCACTTGCAGTTGCTTGCAAGATTTAAGACTCTCAGCTACTTCCCCAGCACCATGTCTGCCTGCATGCTGCCATGTCTCATCATGATGAAAATGGTCTGAACTATAAACCACCTATTAAAGTTTTTCATTTATAACAGTTGCTGTAGTCATGGTGTCTCTTCACCGCAATAGAAACTAAGACAGTAGTTAATACATTAAATTAGTCTCAAGTATAAAATGAAGACCATAAAAATGAACACTGTTCCTTACACATGAACTAGGTATCCCCACATGACTTAATTACTTCCTTAAACACCCTACCTCTTCAAGAGTCCATCCATCACCACAAGGAGGATCAAGCCTCAAATATGTGCACCCCACAAGATGGCAAGTTATATACATTTTGTATTAATGAACTTGGGTGGAATTAGGTGTCTATCTGTATGAAGCTCTGCCTTGGTTTGTTTGTAAATTGTAATAACTAATACCATAAGAGGGGTCTACAGAAAACTCCTTAAATTTAAATGCTGATCTTGCCTATGTCTCTCACTTTTTTCTTCTTTTCTCTCTCTTTCTCTCTTTTTGATGGAGTCTCATTATGTAGTCCTGGCTGTCCTGAAACTCAATATGTAGGTCGAGCTGGCCTTGGATGCACAGAGACCCACCTATCTCTATCTCCTGAGTGCTGGGATCAAAGACATGCACTACCAGGCCCACCTGGAAAACAAGAAATCTTTCCAGATACTTCATCCTGCTCCTTCCTGTTTTCACCACAGCATTCTCTTACCACACCAGAATTGCCCCCTGCTTGGGAGTACTGCACTCCTTTCTCAAACCAATTCAAACGCTGTTCTATGGTGCAAGAAAGGGGCACTGGTGTGTAAGAGCTGTGTGTGTCAGCCACCCTATCATAATTAGTCCCCTTTATTATACTCCTTGTCACTAAGAACTGCGAGTGGGTACTGTGAAATTCCATTGTGGCAAAAGGCAGCACTTCTTGGTGCCCAGGGACCAGTTCTATGCTAAATGCAGACACTAACTCAACAGCAGACAAATGGGAGGGGTGAAAATCCCAGACAGATTCTGCAAATGATTGCAATGCTTTGGTTGATGGGATTAATTTAAGTTGAGAGAAGAAGTATGAGTCAACAGGCTTCAGCTTAGATCTTTCTCCACCAAAACTTCTCATCATAAAATGATGCTCCACGTCACCACTCATTTGATCATTTTACCCATTTCTCTTCCCAA